CTTTCAGATATGTTTAAGCTTCTGATCTGTTGTTAAGACTTTCACTCTAGGGCGGGCGCAATGGCTCAAGCCTGTAATCCCAGCACTTTGGGAGGCCGAGGTGGGTGGATCACCTGAGGTCAGGAGTTCAAGACCAGCCTGGCCAACATGGTGAAACCCCGTCTCTAATTAAAAAAAAAGAAAAAGAAAAAAAAAAAAAAGACTTTCACTCTTCACTTGATCTGCTTTCTTCTAGCTCCCACCAAAATGCCTTCACAACATGTGACAAGGCCAAAGTCACTCAAATATCTGCATCTTATGTCCACCAAAAGGCTACCTTTGATGCCTGGTAAGTCAATGCTGGCATGCTCGTGAATTCCAATTCCATTCCGGATGATCCGCAAGGAACCTTCCTTGAAAGCTCCAGAGCAAGTGACCAGCTGCAAGTAGAGAAAACATTTCTAAAGAACACCCTCAAGAGACTGGGCCAGCCATACTAATGCCCAGAAAGTAAACACAGTACACCTAAATTCAAAAACCTTTATTGTAGGGCTAGGTTTGAGGATGCAGACTTGGCAGAGGCTGATTTCCAAAGTCTTTCAAATTTATGGAGCAGATAGGACCATCCTAGTCCAGGAAGCAAAAAGCTTCTACCACTGCTCCTAGCAAGCTTGCTTAGATCCCTGAGACCCAGTTTACTAGAATGAGCATGGGATCTGGAGTTAGATACATCTGTCATTTATTAGCTAGGTAGGCTCTGGAAAAAGTTACTTAATCTTTCTCAGCCCTAACTTTCCTCACTTCTAAGATGGCCAAAAATCCCTGTCTAGGGTACTGGTATGATTAGAGATAATGTATATAAAGTGCCTGGCAGACCAAGATAGGCTTTCAATAAACAGTAGTTATCCTTATATCACTGGGATTCACGAGGGGGCTCTTAAAAGTATTTTCAGCGCACCCTCCCCATTCTAGATAAGCATAGCTAGGAGGACACAGTTTGAGTGGGCATACAAACCAACTGCGTTCAGGATGCCCCTTACCTGCCCCTGCCCCTGCCTCTCCAGGTCCACCACACACATATCCACAATGGGTCCTAGGTTGGTGAAGGTTTCCATGGCCACTACGTAGGAGCCTTGTTCATTACTGTCAACATTGAGCTAAGAAGAAAGAACAATGTTAGTTTTGGAACACCCTAACAGACTATCCAAAAGAGATGGTTATTGTCCAAAAGAAACTCTCGATACTGCTAAATCTGCCATTCTTGTGTTCCAAGGGATGATTCCAGAAGGGGACTGCTAAGGAATATGGTTGTCCTACAGGTGACCCATTAATCAACCAAGGATTGCTGACCTAGAGTCCCACAGATGGATTTCAAGAAGTAGCGAAACGTTTGAAAATAAATGTAAAATGTTTGCATGCATTTTTCTGCAGAGATGGTCCTAAGTTTTCATATTCTAGAAGAGGTCCATTACATTAAACTATGACCTATTTGAAGGTGGGAGCTGGTCTTATTCATCCATGTATCCACAGCACCTAGCACCTTGCCTAGCAAATTTGCTGAATGAACCACAATGACAAAGAGCTAGTCAGGGGCAGGATGTTAAATTAACCAAGTGGAAAGCTGGATAATAGGGATGTGGATAAAATGGAGATTCTGAGGCACCAAACACAGGAGAAATTTGATGAAGAAACAGTGAGGACAGCAAAAAAGAAACCAGAAACACTGGCCTTCTCACCTTCACAAGCTGGGAGTCACCCAGGCGAGACCCGACAAACACAACACCATTATCAAGGTATGTCAAGCACTCAGCAATAGAGGTCTGAAAAAAGTCAGCAACATGAAAGAAATGAGAATGGACTCCACGTGCAATCCAGACACTACCCACAACTCAGACATCTGCTGAGAAAACTCCCAACTGCAGCTTAATTCAGAACAGTTCTCTGTTTCAAATCCCCAGGTCACAATAAGCAAATGTTTCTATATCTCTGAAGTTTGTGATTCATCTGTTGCATCCCTACACTCAGAAAAATCTGTAATTTGTCTTGCATATTCCTGCTTCAAAAGACACTGCCTAAGTATTAATATTAAACTTTTGGGGAACCTCCTCCCAGAACTGAAATCAGCAATAATCTTTTTCTTCTTTTTTTGAGACAATGTCTCACAGTAACCCAGGCTGAAGTGCAGTGGTACAATCATGGCTCACTGACTTCAACTTTGACCTCCCCAGGCTAAGGTGATCCTCCCACCTAAGGCTCCCAAGTACCTGGGACTACAGGCACACACCCCATACCCAGCTAATTTTTCTACTTTTTGTAGAGACGGGGTTTCGTCATATTGCCCAGGCTAATCTTGAACTCCTGGGGCTCAAGCAATCTGCCCACCTTGGCCTCCCAAAGTGCTGGGATTACAGGTTTGAGCCACCGCAACCAGGCAGATTAATCTTTATATATCTTTTTCTGTTTCCCTTTCTTTTCCTCTTCTCACAGGCTGCTGAGGTAGATTCTCACAGGATTCCGTGAGATTCTCCAACATCTAACTCACTCAACAGTCACCTTCCACGGCAAAAATAAGAGTTTGTTGTTAGGTGTTAAGTAACATAATTCCCAGAGTTGAGGTGTGGGACTACACATTTGGGATCTTTAGGAACCTAAGAAAATGTTGCAGAGGAACAGGGAGAAGAAGTTCTACCTCTCCCAGGAGTTCTACACGGAGATCCTTGAGAGTGACAGTGCCATCCATCTGTTCCTCCTTCTCCAAAAGCAGCATGAAAAGTCTGCCTTCCATATCTCCCAGCAGGTATCTTGAGCCATTAGGGTCCACTCGATTGTGGCACACAATAGTGCTTTGCTGCCGATGGGGAGGAAACAGTCATTAGAGAGTCAGCATCTTCCACACCAGAAAGCAAACCCTACTAGACCACTCCCTTTACCAAACCCAGCCATTTTACTGGCAGACAGATCGCTCAGATAACATTACATGAAAATGAGGATAGATCCTATTCCCCGTTAATAGAAAATGGGGAGCTTTTTTTATTTTGAAGATAATTTTCTGAGGAGCTCCATCAATATACCTTACATGTTTCCGGATAGGCTGCCATTCTGCAGGAAGATACAAATACACAGAATAGGAAGCTGCTGCCAAAATTCACTGAACTATGAATGCTACTGCAAATGTTGTTATTTATTCTATCACTAATTACCCCCACCACTGTGGCAATGCTACCACAGATTTT